CGTTCTAGATTCCACAAGGTCCGTATAATAAACTACACCTGACGAAACAATTAAATTATTTAACATAGTGTTACGTGGCTCGAAGTGCAAGAGAACGGGGTGGTTTTTAGTTCATAAGAGTCTACCACGAGAGGGATCTCGCCTCACCCGGACGTGAGAAGTTACTCGATATTCCCCTCTTAAAAAAAGTAGATGTGATAAATGGTTTGTACAAAGAATACAGTTAGATTTAACTTGAAGTGCTATACTCTAGTATTGCATTAAGTGTTGGGCGCTGTGCTAGCAGGTGGCATGCTCTGTTTGATGTCGACAGATTGATACTTTAAACTAAAACTTCGTGATTTGTTTATTATCTTGGCGTTACTCAAGTTTTTCTTCGAAGGAACATTTATCTTGTTCGCTGCAATTGTATTTGCAGTCCCTCATTGCATGGATCAAATCATCAGTCTTTATCGACTACATTTACCTCTAGAAAGTACAGTGAAGCATGGATAGTAACGTGCGTGTAACACATACCAACGTAGTTTCCGTAGTGCCAAGAGTTCATATCCTGTGTATGGTGTTAGAGGCACTTCTATAACAGTGTGCGATGGCAGCATGGCGCCGGTGAGTGTCTCAAGGCAGCTTATCAAATTATGAGACGTCAGATTTGTGATAAGCGATAGCGTGTCGTCGAGGGGCGCCGCGCCTCTGCCGCCGACATCATCGGCAAATAACTGTTGTTGTGTTCACATGCTGTTCGACGCAATAACAACAAGATAACAAACAGGCTATCTACAAATTACAAAACACCAAAGTACCTAGTGGACGTATCATATATTTGTTTATACATACGCGGTTAATGTTCGAAATGAAACGGCTGACTGCGATTGCTGGCAAGTTGTGACATCAGCGGCGTCTATTACTGACTACTGACTGAAACAAGCTGACTATGGCGACTCGCAGGCTGATTTAGAGGCAGTGCTGATGTACTTGTACTGTTGATGGATATGGCAGATGAAACACGAACCTACGAACCTAGTGGAGATAAAAGTTATTTGATATCTTTGAAACAGCTTTTATTTAATTAGAGGTATACTATATAGTTTGCAATCATACAACATTAGTACATTTTCTCAAAGTAGAAGCCACATGTACTAATACTAATTGCAGACCACGTGACCTTTTCAAATAGGGGTTTCACTAACTAGATGTATCTTACCTGGTGAACTCATATAAAAATCACAGTCACGTAGGGATAGTATGCCAGGGATACATATAGATATGTAACTATTTGGCCTTTAGTACTTAGTAGTTTAAACACTGCAAAATAAATCTTAATAATATAGTTCACTTATTATTAAAATCTGGAATTCGATATTATTCGTCACAGGTACTTTATAATACAACATCTGTATATAGGGCAAGTTAATCAGGACTGCAGCTAGTGTAAGTTAAGTTAATCAATAACGTATATTTACTAAAATATTTCTAACAAATAGTTGCTGATTGAGAAGATGTTGCAATTCCAATCCCGTTAGATCAGCTAATGGTCAGTTTGTTGTGTTTGTACCGCGGAGCGGACTGCGGCAGCCCGCACCCGCCCGCACGCGGCCGACTGAGCCATGTTTGGCAGCGGTTCAATGATTGATCGCTAATGTCAAATTACTGTAAGTGTTCATTTTATTTACGCAACGTGAGCTGCTCGGCAGTGGCGGTAACTGCGATCCCCGGCAGAGACTTAACACTCGACACGTTACACTGAAACTGAACAAAGTCTCACTGAATGGCTTTTACAGATTTACAGTCTTTTTTTTTTTTTTTTTTTAATCTCTTTATTTTTAAAATTTTAGGGGGTTTTTGTCCATATGGATACGTCAACCCCATCGTACCTTATCTAATTAAATATCCTCTGTAAATGAAAGGGAATCATTAACAAGGTATGAGATAAATAAAAGAAAAGCTATGTCACTCTCACCAATTCACATAATCCCTTTGCGATCTTCGTTTTTGGATTTGCTAAAATGTTTTGATTTATTTTTTTTTATGAGATTTACAGTCTTATAGTTGTCTCTCACGCCACGTATGCAACTGCATGATAAATGCTCCGCTGCATAAAAAAGATAACATTATAAGAGTAGTCTTTTTTTATTCAATCGGGTGGAAAACAAGTAGACGACTGCAACGAGCTGATGGTCAGCAATCGGTGTCGGCCGTGGACGCTCGCCACGCCAGTTAAATTACAATAAAGTTGCTTGACATTTGGTGGTCAGGGATGTTGAGGATTGCGTGACATGTCCGCTGCGGTAGGTGGCTCGGGAAGCATCATGTTATAATGTGCGGCGCGCGGCGAGTTACGACCAGGTGTCTGTTGGCACAATGTGCCATCAGACACGCGACACCGCCGCGACTTACTCTGCACTTGCAAGTGACAGTGTACATTTTTACTGTACTTGCTGTAGGGCCATACATTGGACACAAGGGACAAGCACAGTGATCCTCAGATATGTACACTGTAGCCTGTCGCAGTAAAATTACAAGTTAAAATCGGTCTATTAATCGAGTAAAGTGTTGAAAGACCTGTAAATAAACAGTTAGATTCGTATATAATTTACATAAAATTAGTCGTTTTAGACATTTGTAGAGGTACCCTCTTTATTGAAGATAATATCCGCGTTCAATAACTTTACTTGAGACCTGGAACTCAAGTTAGTAAGTCTGGACGTACTAAAACTGAAATCAAAGAAGACGAAAGTAATTCTTTGGAGCCTACTTCAATAACCTAAACTGCCATTTCTAAGGTGCTTGCCAATATGGCCAACTTCTATAAGACGAATACTTAATTATTTTGATTCACATTCACAATCATATGAACAATGCTCAAATAAATGATTACTCTATAGATAATGTTACATCAGCAAAACAAGTGAATCTGACTTCAGTGTAACGCCGGACTCTTGCCGTGACCGGCTATCCGGAAACCAGAAACCGGAACGTGTGAAATGGCATTAAAGAGTCAGACCGCCTGTCAGATGTTTTCAGTTCAAGTTTCAGTGATTATGTATTAACTGTCCGGTTCTCAGTTTCATTGTATTTGTTTAATCTGTGCCCATATTTATATTACTATCCTCAGTAAGAAGTCATTTTGAAATTAGGAAAAGTTTAAGTTATAAGTACATAGTACGAACATTTGACTGCCCCACATTGTAAAGGCGCGTTCAAGGTCGGGGTGCACTGCACTATGTACTCGGCACAGGTCCACACTGGCAGACTCCGGCCGCGGGTCCCTTACACCGGGCCAGGCTGCCAGGCTGCCAGGCTGCCAGGCTGCCAGGCTGCCAGGCGACCGGTTACTCACTCTGTTGTTGGCAGACACCACCTCGTGCTCGCTATTACGTGGAATTATGTCACACAACATGTAATGTGCAAACTTGTAAACAAGCGGCACGGTGGCGACATCTGCACAATACCGCGCCACTTGCGCTTGTGGCCTTCACTGGCGGCCGTCACGTGCTGTGACGTCGGCTGCTTTACCGACGCCGGCGGTGGCAGCCAATGGCGAGGCGTGCTGCAGCTACCGACCGCGGGCCGCGAACCAATCGCGGTAAAGTACACTTTGGTCACAGTGCGCACATGTGACCGATCGCAACTTTTATCCTAAAATTACTTTTTTTTTTTAAACTTGACTAAGTTTATTTATTTTGTCAATTAGTGTTTCAACTGTTGCCTAGGGACTGTGATCTAATTAATTTTAAGTGATTATGAACCGGAACGGTGAGTACGGTGGAAGGTTGTTCTACCTTATTTAGCTACATTGTCGCTAGCGCCATCGGTGGATCTATTGGTTACTACACGGTACACACTTTCCGTAGCGAGAAATCGCTTTCATTAGTTGAAATTCGATGGCATAGATGGCGCTGATAGCCACGGTTCGGTTACGGTTAGTGGAAATTCATGAAATGTACTGTGAATTTGTGATTAGTTTCGGTCCGTACAAAATATTATTCACACTCTTATCTATTTATATACTGAGCACAATTACAACTACATATAGCAATGCATCTATACCTCAAACATTTATAAGGAAAAGGTGAATATAATACATCGTTGTTTTTTCTTGCACTTAGTAGTTTAAGTTATCACCGTGAGATGGCGCTCGGGATATTGTAATATTTATATTTTGTGTTTTGGGTTGGATTACTCTTTGCGGAACTCTATCTATCCCTTTTTAAAAATAGTTCTAATTATTTGTACTAGTTATTCATTATTATATGTCACAAGAGAATGGAACAAGAGTAGTATCTCATGTAAGAAATACAAACATGTACAATAGGATATACATATTTCTATAGAACAGCAGAGTCAGATACGAGAGGAGAAACCAGCTGGAGCTGGGAACATGAAGGTAGCCGACACGTAGTTCTAGGAGGAAACCGGCTCTTTCTGTGCCTTCCCTCCCCATGTGCCTGTACCTATGTTAAACACTTCACCTGTTTTAAATATCACACTTATAGTAATATTTTTTTAAGGCCTACAAGCTTTTAATAATTTCATTAGTTTCTAATACATTTCACAAAGGGATATCCATCCGACATTATGATATATTTACATTTTTATTGAAACTACTGAGAGATATTATAAAACCTAGTTTTATTAAATTTAAAAGTATTATTGGGACTTCACGACAACACAATATAATGCTACCGCCTCCTGTGATCATTTCAGTCGAAGTCCACGGCATTATAGAAAACCGGTCTGAGAGAACGTTTGTGTGATTTTCCGCCGAGTCCCGAAGTTTGACCCCCCTCCTCCCCCACCCCTTAAGCACCTGTAATCCTTTTGGTATTATTGCGGCGCTTTATCGTTAGCTGTAGGTACCTACTTTTCTCAGGGACAATGTCTAATCTCGATATCGGCCAGAATCAGTCAGATTCTCTTTGGATGACGTGTGTGCGTCCCACAAGAATGTTTCGTTGTAAGACGTGAATGGTTTACTAATATATATTTTTTTCTGTTTTCAGATTTCCTGAGCCACGGGGCTAGTTTCAACAAAAAATACGGTTAGTAATACATGTTCAAATAATACTCGTATTATGTATGTATGTATTCGACGCGGGCGCAGTACTTCGGCGATATCGTGCTGGAGCAGTGGGCATTAGCGGGCATTGTATTGCAAGGTGCAATGTAAAGATACGTGGATATATTGATACTAAGCAAGTTATGCCTGAGCCTACTACTATGTATCGCGATGCTGGCCTGGATGGATGGATGGCCTGGAGGGATGGATGGCTTGAATGGATGGCCCGTAGTGGGTGGTAACTGGTAGTTCATGACTCAGAACTCAATCGTTTAGTATACTAAACAGCTCTGCTAATCTTGAATAGCTCAATGATTTCAGTCGATTTAGTTTTTGGTGTTTCATGTACAAAAATGCAGTTAAATCATAAAATGACAAGCTTTGCACTATAAGTACATTGCAACTAATCGGAGATGTAAAGACAACATTATTATGTGAATGTGGCGAAGCATTATCCAAACATAGGAAATTATAATCCCACTCTTGAATAATTTTATCTTATTATCTTCGAAGTGATATCAACTAAAGTATAATTATATATTTGCTTGTACATTTGCATGGAGATGTATAATGCTAATTGCGTTCTCTGTCGGTCAACCATTGTGTATTGCAGGGATGTACTTTAACTTATTTATTTAAATGTAACTTATAAACTAAGTGTGTCTACGTTAATTAAAAACTCAAATAATAAGAAAAATAGAATTGTCGTTCAATAGCTTTTTTAAATACGCTAATAACACTTCATGATTTCCACTTTTGGCGGTCTTCGTGTTTGCGAAATTATTTTCCCATCATCATCAGCAGCCCGTGAGGGACCATTGTTGAAATATGAACCTCCTCGACAAGTGAGGGGATTGCCACAATCTCTACGCTTGGCCGCAGCTTAACGATCGATATTTGACGTTACAGCTAGACAACGTAATCATAGGTCGCCAGCCACTCCAGCTGGCTGCCCAGACCAGTAGGACACCCAAAGGTAAACACTAAGTTGTGACATGATTCCGCTTCATGATACAAAGCGAAGCCAACATATAAATAAATAATATTAATAGATGTGTACAGTTTTAGTCCCTATTTCGTAAAAAATACTTGTTCAATTGTTCTGATCCCTTTAGGGCCACCGCTAAAGTATTTGCGTAAGAATAACAGCTCGCAGTAAGTTAATGTTGAAATACTAAAAATATACAGATTTAAACATAAAACGCCCTGGTTACCTAAACCTATTGGGAAACAAAGAAAGAAAAAGTTCTGAACTTAACTGCCCTAACCACCAACCATGGGCACATTTCACATTTTTCTTGAAAATTGTTTTCATCCCGTGAAAATGTGCGAATACTCGTCTGTCAACGTCGGGAGGGTCGAGAGGGTTTCGGCGAGTGTGTCCCTCCTCAGCACCCAGACACCGACCGGTGGTGGTTGCGCTGGGAGTGTGCAGTGTGAATAGAGTGCCGGGTTGACACGTCGCACGCACGACTTTACTCGATTTTGAACCAGTAGTAACTGAATCGAATTGCTAGCTAAAACAAAGCCTTACCTTACAGAAATAGAGAGACTCGACGTAACGAAACCAAACAAACAAACTTGCAAAGTTCGGATACACATTGAACAGAACGGGAATGCTATTTTTGTAATATTTCTTCAAACACAATGCCCCTTTCGAACAAATGAATAACAATGATTAATTGACATTAAAGTGTTATTGACTCACAACTGCGACTACCGAAACCTCTTGTGTATCGCATTCGATACTCAGTCTAGGCAGTGTGTTAGTGGAAATGATAATTATATATTTCAAATCTCTACCCACCACTATATTACAGTAAATAACTTCTTAGAATAAAGAAAAATAAAAATTTTGTCCAACATAGCCGAGACATCTCAAGGAAAAATCAATTTCTACAAACGTGTTATCCCTACAGCTACCCAGTAACATAAACATGCATGCATACCATTTGATTTATTTAAGTAAATAAATGAAAGCTTGGAAAATCTATGTACGGGACTGACACACCTGAATATAAAACTTAATAAACTAATATAGCTGGTAGATAGTTTTTTGTTTCTCTAGCTTGTCTAGCTAGGGCCAGGGGGCTGTAGTGCTACGCGGCGTAGCGGCGTAGCGCTGGCTCCGGCGTAGCATCGGCCAGCTACGCGCTACGACACTGCCGCCCTGTACCTCGTTGCTCATTCTGTACTCTGCGTTACTTCACATATTTGGTATTTTTTATTGAGTTAGAATAGGTATTAATATTGTATTAAGTTATACATACACAGGACTCTCGTATATCCTAGTGAATCTTATCTTAAGCTTTAAGTGGAATTATTGATTAGAAGGATAAGAATTTCTTTCGTATTATTTTTTTTCGAATTTTTTTTCGTATTGTTCCTTAAATAGCTGAGTATTAGTGTAGTGAGTGAGAAATATGTGCAGAGAGGTGTCGCTAGGTGCCCGCTGTGCACAACACGGATTAGTACTTACTTGAGGGGGCGACCACGTGACGGAGCCGCCGCGGCGCCGGGCGGCAGGTGACAACCAGGAGCTACGCACTCCTACATCAATAAAAGTAAACCGACTACTGCACCACAAGCACATGTCGATTTCTTTCCAAACAATATATCAATAAAGTTTAAAGTATTAAATAAATAGATTTATAGTCGTTTGTTAAGGTGGACTCGTACAATGTCCACGCGACCTGTCAGCCTCCGACTCTGTCTGTGTAGCTCCTCGGTCGCACATGTGGGGCTCTGTTGCCCAGCCTGGCTACTTGTATTTATCTCCATGTAAATGTCGTGTTCAATTCCTGATTCTGATGCTGAAATTGAAAAGATTGGTAACACGTTGAGAGGCTCAAACTCGACAATTCGTTTCGGGTTTTGCCCAGCAGTGGTGGAGATGATGATTGAGTGGATGATTACCTCCACTCGACGCCGGGTCCCCGCCTCGAGCTGCAATCTGAGACACGTTTTACTAATTTGTTAGATTCATCGTGCGCATACTGCAACCGTTTCTTGAGTCTCGTGTTGTTCCGGTCAGGGAGTATTCATTACTTGTATCAACTGTAAATGTTGAATCAGTTTTATGAGAGTTTCATTACTACATGAAGATTGAGCTCGGGCTCAGGCATGTGTTGCCTCATTAAATGAACATAGAAGTATTATTATTGTTAACGCGGATGTTGATTAAATGATTACTTATTTCAAAGAAACTGGTTTTCATTACATGGGTAATGCATCAGTTTTGGTGCGAGTAGAGGTCGCGCGGATTTTGAGGCGGTCGGGTATATCCATGACGTCCAGAGAGGGTGGAGCCACCCTCTGGGGCGGGGGTAAACGGGCGCGGGGCGCGGGTTGGGGGGCGCGGCGGGCGCGGGTGCAGCACGTGCCGGCGAGCGTGCGGCGCGCACGTGGCGCTGAGCGTGCGCGCCGCGCGATCGCCGGCTCCTTCATCAATCCTGCCGCGAACAGCTTCAGGAACGGTCGTGTCCGCAGTTCCTCCGCAAGTTGAGTTAACGGTACCGCGATTGCAGCAACGATTGAGTGTGTTAGAACGGAAAGGGGCAGCGCGCGATGCTGGCCCTCTCAACGTTTAGACAAGCACGGATACATAGACATGGGGACTGATTCGGCCAGTGTCGGCGCCGGGGGCTGGTACTCCTTGCCGCAGAACAGTGAGCTCTGTTTCCTGGCACCACAGCCCCCCGCTCCGCTGGCAGCAGTGCCGACTCGTTGCTCGCAGCTGTTCGCTGCACACCCTGCAGGTATGGCTCCCGGGTCCTGGCCTAGCGCCACAGGTAGTCGCCTGCACTCGAGGCGTGTTATCGTGCACGCGACTGCCAGCGCACACACGCGCAGCGCTGGCCGCGCGCTGTGCGCGTGTGTCTCGTTGTTGACATCAGGCGGCGCCCCGCCACACTCCACTCATATTATACCTACTTGATTCGTGTTCCCGCATCTCTTGTTTGTGATTGCTCACGCGTACTCCTGAACGTGTTTGGTCATCATCTTTGTGGTTAACATCTCCGCACTCTGCTGCTCTGTCAAGGAGCCTGTTTGATATACCAAGTTCCCCCTTTACAGATACCTGGGTGGACACTTTGCTCATTTGTTCATAAAATAGCAGTCCACGTTGTCCTTTATTTACTTTTTACCTTAAAGTTTTAAATAATCGCATGATAATTAGTGACAAACTTACAATAAAACTTTAAACTGACTTCCGTTTATGTGACGTTGTGTTTGTTTAATTAATTATAATTTAATTTTATTGTTTAAAATGATCATCGCGACGACTGACATAAACGAAACACAACCGGTGTTGCTAACCCTAGAATTATCGAAAACCTAACTGGACGAAACAACTAATTCATCCAGTGCAACATAAATGTTATAATGGCTTCAATAAATAGAGAAACATATAAATATGTAAGTGATAAGAGGATCAGGACAAAGGCGGTACCGGCGCCGGCGCCGCGGGTAGCAATAACATACAACACCAACAATAACTGGTAGCTCCAGTCAGATACCGACAGAACCAGCTAGGTGTACATCAGCGGAGTGGTCACTTTTCAGTTGGTGACAATTGTGACGCTAAATTTATTACTAAACTGATATAATTTGTAGTTGAAGTTTTCCAAAAGAATGAGTAACACTTACTTATGTTTCCTCAAATACGCTGCGCTTTAACTTCATTTTGTACAACGTAAAAGAATACAAAGTCGTAAATAACACAGACCATCATATTGTTAACAATAATAATTGCAGTTTAACAAAGTAAACATTAACAAAGAGTTCATGATATGAGCCTCTTGACCGGCTTGTAACTATTCGAGTTTCTCGAACATAGTTATATGAGTGGACAATCACGATAATTAATGTAATATTACATTTTTATAATAATTAGTTTATTATTTAGTATGTCTCGCGGAAGTAACGTTAACAAAGAAATTAAATATTATACCAGGAACAAAGGAAATATTACTAGCACGC